GTAGCGATACGCAGACGCCGACCACAGCACTGGTCGGCAGCTAAGAGGGTTTTGCGTAATCTAGCAAGTACATCGGGCATGGGGCTAGTGCTAGGAGCATGCAGGCCAGTGGTCCTGACAGGGCAGACAGACGCTTTGTGGGCTGACGACGTTGAGACGCTCAGGTCCTCCCAGGGCTACTGCTTTAGCCTTGGTGCAGGCGCTATCTCGTGGAGGTCCACCCGCTCATCGTTTGTTGCACAGTCCAGTTGCGAGGCTGAGATCTACGCTGGTGCCATGACGGCACAGGAGGTCCGCTGGCTGACTTTCTTGCGCATAGACTTCGGTGAGCGGCCTAGCTCTGCCCCAGTCCTGTACGCCGACAACAGGGCCATGATCCTCCTGTGTCAGGAGCCTTGACTAGAGGGCAAAGCGAAGCACATCCAGCTGCGGTACTTCCTCCTACGCGAGCTGCAGCAGCGCCGCCAGGCCCGCGTAGTACACTTGGGCTCCGGTGCCAACACATCAGATATCTTAACTGAGGCGCTTGCACCTAAAGATCATCAGCAGCACTGTGTATAGCTTGGTCTAGTTTCTGTAGCTTCTCACTTGCATGTCCAGAGCAAACCTGGATTGTGTCCAGGCACACTTGAACAAAATCAACCTGTTTGCCTCATTCTAGTCACCTTTTCTACTCTGAGAGTTCTCTCTGTAGTAGGATCCATTAACACCTACCAAGCCTACAGTTATATATATAATATATATATTTTAATAATGATTGGTTGCAGTTGGTGTTGAATCGAATTCGCCCGCTTTCCGGGCCGGGTTTGCTCTGGACATGCCGTGCGTTACAGTTCGTCACTTCCAGCATGTGCAGCTCCACATCAGACATCGAATTCCCTTTTACTGAATGGGCCTATACCAATATCCAATCGGCAGATACATGCGTGACGTGACCTGGCTACAAGCCCGAACTGATCCTGGCGTTTTAGGTTGCCCGTTAGGATCGGCTCCGTCTTCCTCATCCTAATTTTGATCATGGACGGTAGGAAGGAATACGCCCTTAGTGCTATATGTCAAAGCTCTGTCACTAACCACTGAGCTAAAAGGGTTTTGTTAATAGCGGGTCAGTGCACCCATAGCCCCCAGGCTCTGCACCTGTGGCCCTTCCCTGAGGATCTTCTCAAGGGTAACCCCATCGGGTCACTCTGTTAGAATACTACAATGAATTGAAACAAGGGTGAACAAGGGAAATATAGGGTTGGAGTTGTACTCTTTAAGAACATATACCTATCTAGCCTATAACTTCTACATACTAACATTTGCATAAGTTGACACACCCCCTAGGCTAGATAAGGGGTAGTGCTGAGCAAGAAACACGTAGCTCAGGGTGGCACTACTAGTCCAACCTCTGAGGCAAGGGTCCGAAGACCAGTCAGCAAGAGTACAACAAGATAAGAGCAAACCAGGGTGGCACTACTAGTCCAAACACTGGAAGAGAAGCCACAAGGCCAATCTGGAAGGTATAAATATAGAGGAGTGCACAATAAAGGTAGCGCGCTACGTAGCGCGCCTTGAACACAAGCGGCTCTCCAGCAGGGCGCTTCACCTTGAATAGCCACCGGCCATCGAGTACGTTTACCCCAGGTGGAGGAACTGCGTCGACGAAGGTGCCGGTGGATCTCCAAGATGCCATCTCCTGCTCCATGGCAGCTATCCACTGGGAGGCCCAGGGTCCCGAGGTCGCCTCAACGTAAGTGCGAGGGGTTGGGATGTCAAAGACGTCTAGATCACCCTCAGGGACTAGCAGCATGGAGCACAGATGGCGAGCAGCCTCGGACAAGAAAGCAAGCTCGTACTGCCTGTCCTCTAGAACGTCACTGCCAAGGGCAGGAGCACCCCCAACGGACGGAGGACGGACAAGGTCAGACACCAGAGCGGTGGCGTAGTCAAGGCGGCGGGTAGAGGCGAAGTCAGTGATAGAAGCGACAAGCGCGTCAAGACTCAAGAGAGGAACAGACGAATTGGTAAAGAGGGAGGTAAGGACCAGAGAAACAAGAGGACGAGTCGCAAAGGTAGGAGGGGAGGACGAGACACGTGGGAACGAAGCCACATAGGGTGAGCACACTGAACAAGGGAGACAAGACGAGCACGAGAGGGACGGCGAGACCAGATGTGAGACGGAGGCGTCGGGTCAGGAGACAGAGGAGGAGTAACTGGAGGGGAACGAGGTGGGAAACGAGCCGGGGACGAGTCCGGCGCAGGAAATACAGGACCATGGATAGGAAGGGGAGGAGGCAGCGGGGGAGGCGCAGGCGAGCGATCAGGGGAGGGAAGGCCGAGCAGGTGAAGGGCGGACACCGGCGGCAAATGCTGCTGCTGCTGCTCGACGCCGACACTTGGACCGCCAGCTGCACCGCGGCTACCTCCGGAACACTCCACTCCAGCACCCTCAGAACGAGCACCCCCAGAGCGAGAACCCTCTCCAGCACCAGTGCCACCCCCGAGCCCGCCAGGACAAGCCACAACAGGAACTTCAGGACTAGCACCCTCCTCAACGCCAGCACCCCCAGAGTCCACGAACGGCTGCTGCGGCTGCGACGGCGGCGGCGGCTGCGGCGTCGTCGACTGCGACGGCGGAGGAGGAGACACCGGTAGAGAGACAGGTGGCAAGAACTGCGCCACAGGGCCACTTAAGTCAACCGACTCCTCGACCGGGACAACCGACGGGAGGGGAGTGATGTGAGAAACACTAGACGGAGCAAGATGGGGAGGAAGGTGAGCAGGAGCTACCGAGGGAGTGGGGACCAAAAACAAGGGAGGGGAAACCGGGAGACCTCGGTGGGGAAAGCGGTGGTAAAAGGAGACAGACTCGTCGAAAGTGGCGTCATGCGAGTGAAAAAAGTGGTGAGACGGCGGGTGGTAAAAGTGCCAGTCAGAGGAGTCCAGGGGGAAACCGAGGAAGACACAGGGGACAATGCGAACAGTGAGCTTGTCCGTGCCAGAGGCGTGAACTTGAGCGAGTGAGCCCCAGACGTGGAATGCAGACGCGTCACCAGGGAACCCGGTCCAAAAAAGGGTCGGCGAAACATGCGGCCGCTGGGAGCACGGCCACCGGTTAAGCTGGTGAGCGGCGTAGCGAACAGCGAACAGCCACAGAAAATGGGGTGCACCTGCATGAATCATCGAGGTACGAGCCACCTCCATGACCAAGCCGATGCATCGCTCAGCGACACCATTCTGCTGCGGGGAGTCTGGTAGGGTGTACGACTGTGTGATGCCCTCCGCACGACAGAACTGTCCAAGCTGACCAGAGTCGAACTCGTCGCCACGGTCGGAGTGGAGACACAGCACAGGGAGACTGCGGTGGAGGCGCGCAGCTACGACCCACGGGATAAGAATGTCGGGCATTCCCTTGGAGCCGAAGGCATATGCATTCCACGTCTGCGGTGGAGGCGCGCAGCTACGACCCACGGGATAAGAACGCGTGGAGTAGCATGAAACTACTGCATCTAGGAAGTCTTTGGCGTTTGCTACAGCAGATAAACGGGGACGCTTAGATAGGGGAAGCGCATGACTAATGGCAAGCTGCGCTACAGCATTGCGAGAATCCCAGACAGCGCGAGCGAGCGCAGCAGGAGCAAAGGCCTCACTCTCAGCAATGGTGGGATCAGCAGGGAGGGGATCAGGCACGGAGGGGCGGGGAAGCAAGCCATCAATATGCATAGCCAGGGAGTGCCCATCCTGGCGCTGACTTTCAGGTGCCGGCGAAGATCGGCAAGCCAGTCGGCGAAGTCGATCGCGTGCCCCTCCGCGTCCAGACGTAGCATGGCGTCCGCCATCGCAAAACCTCAGCGGCGCAGCGGAACAGGGACACAGGTACTCAGTTGCACGGCGAGACATCGACGTGGCGGTGGGACTCTCCGGAACAGGGACCGGGCGCGCGAGGAGCCGGAGGGCGCGCAAGGGGGGGGGGGCGAACAGGCGGTAGGGGCCGGCTAGGCAGTAGAGGAACCGGCGGCGGCGCGAGAAGGGGGTGGCGGCTGGGCGCGAGGGGCCGGCTAGGGCGCGAGGGGCCGGCGAGGGCGCTAGGGGCCGGATAGTGCTCGAGAGGCCGGCTGGGCGCGCGGGGCTGGCTGGGCGTGAGGAGCCGGATGAGCGCGAGGGGTCGGCTAGGGCGCAAAGGGCTGGCTAGGGCGCGAGGGGCCGGCTAGGCGTGAGGGGCTGTGCGAGGAGCCAGCTAGGGCGCGAGGGGCCGGCTACGGCGCGAGGGGCCGGTGACGGCGTGAGGGGCCGGCTAGGGCGCGAGGGGCCGCGGACGGCGAGAGGGGCCAGCTAGGGCACAAGGGGCTGGCTACGGCACGAGGAGCCAGCTAGGGCGCGAGGGGCCGGCTAGGGCGCGAGGGGCCGGCTAGGGCGCGAGGGGTGGCGGCTAGGAGCGAGGGGCCGGCGGCGGCGCGAAGGGCTGGCTAAGACGTGAGGGGCCAGCGACGACGCGAGAGGCTGGCGAGGCGCGAGGGGCCAGATAGGCGCGGAGGGGCCGGCTAGGCGCGAAGGGGCCAGTTGGGTGCGAAGGGGCCGGCTAGTCGCGAGGGGCCGGCGAGGCGCGGTAGGCTAGGGCGCGGGGCGGAAGCGGGTGGGGGGGGACCTAACCTACTAATGATACCATGTTAGAGTACTGTAATAAATTGAAACAAGGAAAATATAGGGTTGGAGTTGTACTCTCTAAAAACATACACCTATCTATCCTATAACTTCTACATACTAACATATGTATAAGTTGACACACTCGACACTATAGGCATAGATTTGATAGTCTCTTTGTTGATATGGTGTGGTATATAGCCATTTCTATGGTGCCATGTGGATGCACCAGGTTTAAAACCTATACATATGTAATAATTAGGGATCTGTTTCCTGTGCGTCTCCCTGATGCATGAAGTAGAAAGTTTTCATCAGACATGAATGGGACCGAACAAGCTAATCAATTATCAAGCGGATGCCGCCCCCTGCTTATACGGTATTTGGATGGTTGGTGCATCACGTGTGTCTCGTGGCTTGTGGCAAGGCGTTCCATTTCGAGATTCACGGGCGGCCTTGACACCGGATTCTCCTGCGTCACCCACACTACCTCTCACACACTCCACCACGCGCACACCTCACCTCGCGCCCACCGCCTCACATGTGATCGCGTTTCTCGGATGCCCGCCAAGGCAGCACAGCTTTGGCGGGGCAGCAGCCACGAGCCGTAGGTCCGCAGAAGCTGCCTGGGGGGAGGGGGGTTGTCGCATTGCCCGGGGGCAGGGTGCTAGTTGATTTTCCGCCTCGGGACGGTGCGGAGGGGCCTTTAGTATGTCGTCGGCGGCGCATCATCACTCCGCGCGCACTCCCCGCTCCCGCTGGCACGGCGGGGCGCACAAGGGGGGGTATGGAATCCGCGCGGCGCGCGTCATCCAGGCGTGCGCCTTCGCTATAGTCACGCTCTGGCTCTGCTATCACTGGTCGCACGCCCCCCGCCGCCAGCCCCCCCGCGACGACGCCGTGGCCGCGGCGAGCGCGGGGCGGCTGCAGGTTCGGGGGCTCGTGGTGGAGCGGCCCAAGCCCAAGGACGTGGGTCGGCGGAAGAGCCGCAGCGTGATCTCCCTGGAGGGGCCCGGCGACCGCGACCTGCTGCCGGGGGACGGCGCGCTGGCGGAGGGCGCGCAGGGCGGCGGGGGGCTGGCGGGGGGCGACATCGTGACGCGCATCGTGGCGAAGGCGGGGCGCGCGCAGGGGCAGGGCGTGAAGCTGAAGGACCTGGTGGAGGCGAAGGCGCAGGGCGGGGGGAACCTGCTGGGGGAGTTCGGGGGGGAGGCGGAGGAGGAGGGCGAGCGCAAGTGGGAGGACCAGGGGGAGATGGAGGAGCGCGCGCTGGTGGACCTCAAGGGCGGGGGGCGCGAGGCGAAGGTGGTGCAGCGCGCCATGGAGGAGACGAGGGCCGTGGAGGGCGAGGGCGAGGGGGAAGGCGGGGCGGAGGGGGAGCGCGAGGGCACTGCGCCATCCGCGCTTGAAGTGGCGGTCGACGTCGAGCTGGGGGCGGGGAGGGGAGGCGCGGAGGAGAAGGGGGGAGACGGGGGGAAGGAACAGCAGGGGGAGCGGGAGGGGGAGAGGCAGGGGGAAGGAGGGAGTGGGAGGTTGTTTAAAGCGGAGAGGAGAGGGGGAGCGGGTGCAGGGATGGAGGGGGAGGAGCAGGGGAGGGGTGATGAGGATGAGGATGATGGTGAGGAGAGGAGTGAGGGGGGTGGAGCAGGGGAGGCCGCGGAGGGGGGCAGCAGGGCGGAGCACAGCAGCGACGCCCGCGAGTGGCAGCAGCGCGTGGCCAGCAGCAGCACGGCGCACCCGGTGCTGCTGGCAGGCACGCCGTGCATGGCAGTGCGAGCCGACCCCGCGTCGGCGCGCATGCTGCTGGCGCTCAGAGGCGGCCGCGTGCACATGCCCGCGCACCCCCCTGGCCTCCTCACCTCAGTGCCGCCCCTGATGCTGCCGCTGCTGCCGCCCGTGCTGCAGGGCCGCGTGCTGACAGCGTTCCAGGCGGACTCGGGTGGTGCTGGCGGCGGGGCGAGGGGCGGGCAGGGCAGCACGCAGAGCATGGCGTGGCGGGGGCGAGTGCAAGTGGGTACAGGTGAGGGGGGGATGCTTTTGAGTCGACTCAAATGCAAGTGGGTACAGGTGAGGGGGGGATGAGTAGGGAGGAGAGGCGTGGCATGGTCTTCTGCTCAGTCATGAACATATATTGCGGATGCAACGTCCGGTACTTCAAAAACCTCTTCTTAAAGTCCTTAGCAGCTTGATTTTTAAAATCATTGAGACAAGAGGGAGTCGCCTACTTGTCAAGAAAAACGTTATTGAGATCACCAAGAGAATGGAAGGAGTCGGTCATGACAACGTCATGAATCTCGCGAACAGGATCTTGCATCGGCGCAGCCATGGTCGCAGGTTCAGTCGCAGGCCTGGTAGCAGGCTCAGGAAAAGAACGAACTGCAGGAGCGTCGACTGTCACTGGAAGAGCGTCGACTGTCACTGGAAGAGCGTCGACTGTCACTGGAAGAGCGTCGACTGTCACTGGAAGAGCGTCGACTGTCACTGGAAGAGCGTCGACTGTCACTGGAAGAGCGTCGACTGTCACTGGAAGAGCGTCGACTGTCACTGGAAGAGCGTCGACTGTCACTGGAAGAGCGTCGACTGTCACTGGAAGAGCGTCGACTGTCACTGGAAGAGCGTCGACTGTCACTGGAAGAGCGTCGACTGTCACTGGAAGAGCGTCGACTGTCACTGGAAGAGCGTCGACTGTCACTGGAAGAGCGTCGACTGTCACTGGAAGAGCGTCGACTGTCACTGGAAGAGCGTCGACTGTCACTGGAAGAGCGTCGACTGTCACTGGAAGAGCGTCGACTGTCACTGGAAGAGCGTCGACTGTCACTGGAAGAGCGTCGACTGTCACTGGAAGAGCGTCGACTGTCACTGGAAGAGCGTCGACTGTCACTGGAAGAGCGTCGACTGTCACTGGAAGAGCGTCGACTGTCACTGGAAGAGCGTCGACTGTCACTGGAAGAGCGTCGACTGTCACTGGAAGAGCGTCGACTGTCACTGGAAGAGCGTCGACTGTCACTGGAAGAGCGTCGACTGTCACTGGAAGAGCGTCGACTGTCACTGGAAGAGCGTCGACTGTCACTGGAAGAGCGTCGACTGTCACTGGAAGAGCGTCGACTGTCACTGGAAGAGCGTCGACTGTCACTGGAAGAGCGTCGACTGTCACTGGAAGAGCGTCGACTGTCACTGGAAGAGCGTCGACTGTCACTGGAAGAGCGTCGACTGTCACTGGAAGAGCGTCGACTGTCACTGGAAGAGCGTCGACTGTCACTGGAAGAGCGTCGACTGTCACTGGAAGAGCGTCGACTGTCACTGGAAGAGCGTCGACTGTCACTGGAAGAGCGTCGACTGTCACTGGAAGAGCGTCGACTGTCACTGGAAGAGCGTCGACTGTCACTGGAAGAGCGTCGACTGTCACTGGAAGAGCGTCGACTGTCACTGGAAGAGCGTCGACTGTCACTGGAAGAGCGTCGACTGTCACTGGAAGAGCGTCGACTGTCACTGGAAGAGCGTCGACTGTCACTGGAAGAGCGTCGACTGTCACTGGAAGAGCGTCGACTGTCACTGGAAGAGCGTCGACTGTCACTGGAAGAGCGTCGATTGTCACTGGAAGAGCGTCGACTGTCATTGGAAGAGCGTCGATTGTCACTGGAAGAGCGTCGACTGTCACTGGAAGAGCGTCGACTGTCACTGGAAGGGGGTCGAGAGAAAAATCCCGAGCTCTCTTCTTGTTGGAGCGAGAGATTGGGGACTCTGGTAAATCTTCGAATTCCACCAGCTCTTTATCCTTACGAAGACGCCTCGGGCTTGGAATCCTCGAGATTCGTGCGGATCGACGGAGCTGGTTAGACTTGGTGATGTTGGTGTTGGTGTCGGTGTCGGTTGCATTGGTAGCATTAAATTGGTAGTTGGCCAGCGTAGTAGTATCAAGTTTGAGTCCAATAGAACACCAAATAGGTGCCATTGTGTCAATACGTGGCAGCAACTGTATGATGACACCTGTGAATGTAAACTCGTAGAGTGCTTGTAAAAAACTCTTGGAATTAAAAAATGGTGGTAACCGGTTTCGGCTCGAAGCCTTCTTCAGACCACAGAGTCCTAAAGAAAACAAGCACTACTTCATACGCCTAAAAGATGTCGCCCAAGATTCACCTCGCGCGGGGAGACCGTCGAGGAGAAAATGGGGACGCAGCAAAAAACGAAATAAGCGCAAACAGTAAATCTCTACTGTATACTAGCACTTATGAGCAGAAACTAGAAAATTTCCGATTCTCTTCGACAGCCTCCACGCGATAATAGCTCTCCTTGAAGCGAAAATGTTGTGTGACATTGTAACAAGGTGACTTTTGAGTCGACTCAAAAGCAAGTGGGTACAGGTGAGGGGGGAATGGGGAGGGGTGGGGTGGGGACATGATGGCCTCTGATGCTTTGATTGTGGCATGGCATGGGCACGCCGCACTCCGCCTTGTGCCACCCCTTCGCTCCTCCATCGCACTCTCCACTCCCCTCGTCCCCCATTCCTCTCCCATTCCTCTCCCCTTCCTCTCCTCTCTGCCTCTGCTTTCCACTCCTCCCACTCCTCTCCACCTGGTCACTCCCTTTATGCTGTTCATGTTCCCTCTCTTGCTCCTCTCCTCTTCCCTCTCTTGCCCCTCTCCTCTTCCCTCTCTTGCCCCTCTCCTCTTCCCTCTCTTGCCCCTCTTCTCTTCCCTCTCTTGCCCCTCTCCTCTTCCCTCTCTTGCCCCTCTCCTCTTCCCTCTCTTGCCCCTCTCCTCTTCCCTCTCTCGCCCCTCTCCTCTTCCCTCTCTCGCTCTGGCTTCCCACCTCTCTCTGACGTCCCTCCCCTCGCTCACTGCCCCTTGGAGTGCAGGTGGGGCCCGCAGTGGGGGGGAGAGGGGCGAGGGGGAGGGCGAGAGGGTGGGCGGCGAGGACCGGGAGGGGGAGGAGGAGGAAGTGCGCGTGGGGGTGAGCGCGGAGGTGCTGGATGAGCGGGCCATCGCCGTCACATGGACTGTGGCACCCGCCCTCGTATGTGATGTGTGCAAACCACACGCTGCACAACACCCTGTGTGCCACTCGTATGCAAAGAACGTACCCTGCCCGTCCGTGCCCTGCTCCTCTTGTCTTGTCTCTCCTGGTTGAACTGTATTCTCTGCCTCCTTTACTCCTCCCTTGTCCCTCCTTTCTCCCTCCCTTCTCCACCTTTCCTCCTCGCCCGCCCACTGTTCTCCCATGCCACGCCTCTCCTCCCTACTCATCCCGCCATCTCCAGCCCGCAGCAGCACGGCACGCCCGCCGGCCGTTTGCGGCTCCCCTGGACTTGCAGCTCAAGGTGAGCTCAAGGCGGGTCGCGCTGTTCCTCTCCTTCCTTCCCACAGCACCACTAGAAGCAACGCTATCACCTCCTTGCTTTACAAACGACTACTTGCCAACCCACAACCCCTGTGTTCCTCCCCCTCCTCCTCCTCCTCGTCCTCCTCGTCCTCCTCGTCCTCCTCGTCCTCCTCGTCCTCCTCCTCGTCCTCCTCCTCCTCCTCCTCCTCGTCCTCCTTGTCCTCCTCCTCCTCGTCCTCCTCCTCCTCCTCCTCCTCCTCCTCCTCCTCCTCCTCGTCCTCCTCCTCCTCCTCCTCCTCCTCCTCCTCCTCCTCCTCCTCCTCCTCCTCCTCCTCCTCCTCCTCCTCCTCCTCCTCCTCCTCCTCCTCCTCCTCCTCCTCCTCCTCCTCCTCCTCCTCCTCCTCCTCCTCCCTCCTCCTCCTCCTCCTCCTCCTCCTCCTCCTCCTCCTCCTCCTCCTCCTCCTCCTCCTCCTCCTCCTCCTCCTCCTCCTCCTCCTCCTCCTCCTCCTCCTCCTCCTCCTCCTCCTCCACCCCCTTTCCCTCCTACCTATTCCCCCACCTTACCCTTGCCCTTGCAGATCCAGGATAGTGCTGTTGGGTGGTATGGTGGTGGAGAGCGGTTCAATGCAGTGAACCAGAGGGGCAACGTGCTGCCCATGGCTAGCAGAGACACGCCCTCAGGCAACAAGGTGCGCCCTTCCCCTTGAGCCCTCGCGAAACCAGGTGCGCCCTTCCCCTTGCGCCCTCAGGCAACCAGGTGCGCCCTTCCCCTTGAGCCCTCAGGCAACTAGGTGCACCCTTCCCCTTGAGCCCTCAGAAAATCAGGTGCGCCCTTCCCCTTGCGCCCTCAGGCAACCAGGTGCGCCCTTCCCCTTGAGCCCTCAGGCAACCAGGTGCACGCTTCCCCTTGCACCCTCAGGCAACCAGGTGCGTCCTTCCCCTTGCGCCCTCAGGCAACCAGGTGCGCCCTTCCCCTTGCGCCCTCAGGCAACCAGGTGCGCCCTTCCCTTTGAGCCCTCGGGCAACCAGGTGCGCCCTTCCCTTTGAGCCCTCGGGCAACCAGGTGCGCCCTTCCCCTTGCGCCCTCATGCAACCAGGTGCGCCCTTCCCCTTGCGCCCTCAGGCAACCAGGTGCGCCCTTCGCCTTGCGCCCTCAGGCAACCAGGTGCACCCTTCCCCTTGAGCCCTCAGGCAACCAGGTGCGCTCTTCCCTTGTGCCCTCAGGAAACCAGGTGCGCCCTGGGGCATCCAAGTGCGCCCTTACCCTTGCGCCCTCAGGCAACCAGGTGCGCCCTTCCCCTTGAGCCGTCAGGCAACAAGGTGCGCCCTTCCCCTTGAGCCCTCAGGCAACAAGGTGCGCCCTTCCCCTTGTGCCCTCAGGCAACCAGGTGCGCCCTTCCGCTTGAGCCCTCGAGCAACCAGGTGTGCCCTTCCCCTTGCGCCCTCAGGCAACCAGGTGCGCCCATCCCCTTGAGCCCTCGGGCAAACAGATGCGCCCTTCCTCTTTCGCCCTGAGGCAACCAGGTGCGCCCTTCCCCTTGAGCCCTCAGTCAACCAGGTGCGCCCTTCCCTCTGAGCCCTCGAGCAACCAGATGCGCCCTTCCACTTGCACCCTCAGGCAACCAGGTGTGCCCTTCCCCTTGAGCCCTCGGGACACCAGGTGCACCCTTCCCCTTGCTCCCTCAGGCAACCAGGTGCGCCCTTCCCCTTGAGCCCTCGGGCAACCAAGTGCGCCCTTCCCCTTGCGCCCTCAGGCAACCAGGTGTGCCCTTCCCCTTGCGCCCTCAGGCAACTAGGTGCGCCCTTCGCCTTGACCCCTGGGGCATCCAAGTGCGCCCTTACCCTTGCGCCCTTAGGCAACCAGGTGCGCCCTTCCCCTTGAGCCGTCAGGCAGCAAGGTTCGCCCTTCCCCTTGTGCCCTCAGGCCACCAGGTGCGCCCTTCCGCTTGAGCCCTCGAGCAACCAGGTGTGCCCTTTCCCTTGCGCCCTCAGGCAACCAGGTGCGCCCTTCCCCTTGAGCCCTCGGGCAAACAGATGCGCCCTTCCTCTTTCGCCCTGAGGCAACCAGGTGCGCCCTTCCCCTTGAGCCCTCAGTCAACCAGGTGCGCCCTTCCCCTTGAGCCCTCGAGCAACCAGATGCGCCCTTCCACTTGCACCCTCAAGCAACCAGGTGTGCCCTTCCCCTTGAGCCCTCGGGCAACCAGGTGGACCCTTCCCCTTGCGCCCTCAGGCAACCAGGTGCGCCCTTCCCCTTGAGCCCTCGGGCAACCAAGTGCGCCCTTCCCCTTGCGCCCTCAAGCAACCAGGTGTGCCCTTCCCCTTGCGCCCTCAGGCAACCAGGTGCGCCCTTCGCCTTGACCCCTGGGGCATCCAAGTGCGCCCTTACCCTTGCGCCCTTAGGCAACCAGGTGCGCCCTTCCCCTTGAGCCGTCAGGCAACAAGGTGCGCCCTTCCCCTTGTGCCCTCAGGCCACCAGGTGCGCCCTTCCGCTTGAGCCCTCGAGCAACCAGGTGTGTTCTTTCCGTTGCGCCCTCTGGCAACCAGGTGCGCCCTTAGGCAACCAGGTGCGCCCTTCCCCTTGAGCCCTTGGGCATGCAGGTGCGCCCTTCCCCTTGCGCCCTCAGTCAACCAGGTGGGCCCTTCCCCTAGAGCCCTCAGGCAACCAGATGCACCCTTCCCCTAGCGCCCTAAGGCAACCGGGTGCGCCCTTCCCCGTGCGCCCTCAGGCAAACAGGTGCACCCTTCCCCTTGAGCCCTCAGGGAACCAGGTGCGCCCTTCCCCTTGCGCCCTGAGGCAACCACGTGCAGCCTTCCCCTTGCGCCCTCGTGCAACCAGGTGCGCCCTTCCCCTTGCGCCATCAGGCAACAAGGTGCCCCCTTCCCCTTGCGCCCTCAGGCAACCAGGTGCGCCCATCCCCTTGAGCCCTTGGGCATCCAGGTGCGCCCTTCCCCTTGCGCCCTCAGGCAACCAGGTGCGCCCATCCCCTTGAGCCCTCGGGCAAACAGATGCGCCCTTCCTCTTTCGCCCTGAGGCAACCAGGTGCGCCCTTCCCCTTGAGCCCTCAGTCAACCAGGTGCGCCCTTCCCCTTGAGCCCTCGAGCAACCAGATGCGCCCTTCCACTTGCACCCTCAGGCAACCAGGTGTGCCCTTCCCCTTGAGCCCTCGGGCAACCAGGTGCACCCTTCCCCTTGCGCCCTCAGGCAACCAGGTGCGCCCTTCCCGTTGCGCCCTCGAGCAACCAGGTGCGCCCTTCCCCTTGAACCCTCGGGCAACCAAGTGCGCCCTTTCCCTTGCGCCCTCAGGCAACCAGGTGCGCCCCTACCCTTGCGCCCTCAGGCAACCAGGTGCGCCCTTCCCCTTGAGCCCTGGGGCATCCAAGTGCGCCCTTTCCCTTGCGCCCTTAGGCAACCAGGTGCGCCCTTCCCCTTGAGCCCTCAGGCCACCAGGTGCGCCCTTCCCCTTGCGCCCTTAGGCAACAAGGTGTGCCCTTCCCCTTGAGCCCTCATGCACCCAGGTGCACCCTTCCCCTTAAGCCGTCAGGCAACCAGGTGCACCCTTCCCCTTGAGCCCTCTGGCAACCAGGTGCGACCTTCCCCTTGCGCCCTCAGGCAACCAGGTGCGCCCTTCCCCCTGAGCCCTTGGACAACTAGGTGCGCCCTTTCCCTTGCGCCCTCGAGCAACTAGGTGCGCCCTTCCCCTTGCGCCCTGAGGCAACCAGGTGCGCCCTTCCCCTTGAGCCGTCTGGCAACCAGGTGCACCCTTCCCCTTGCGCCCTCAGGCAACCAGGTGTGCCCTTCCCCTTGAGCCCTTAGGCAACCAGGTGCACCCTTCCCCTTGAGCCCTCTGGCAACCAGGTGCGCCCTTCCCCTTGCGCCCTCAGGCAACCAGGTGCGCCCTTCCCCTTGCGCCGTCAGGCAACAAGGTGCCCCCTTCCCCTTGCGCCCTCAGGCAACCAGTTGCGCCCATCCCCTTGAGCCCTTGGGCATCCAGGTGCGCCCTTCCCCTTGCGCCCTCAGGCAACCAGGTGCGCCCATCCCCTTGAGCCCTCGGGCAAACAGATGCGCCCTTCCTCTTTCGCCCTGAGGCAACCAGGTGCGCCCTTCCCCTTGAGCCCTCAGTCAACCAGGTGCGCCCTTCCCTCTGAGCCCTCGAGCAACCAGATGCGCCCTTCCACTTGCACCCTCAGGCAACCAGGTGTGCCCTTCCCCTTGAGCCCTCGGGCAACCAGGTGCACCCTTCCCCTTGCTCCCTCAGGCAACCAGGTGCGCCCTTCCCCTTGATCCCTCGCGCAACCAAGTGCGCCCTTCCCCTTGCGCCCTCAGGCAACCAGGTGTGCCCTTCCCCTTGCGCCCTCAGGCAACTAGGTGCGCCCTTCGCCTTGACCCCTGGGGCATCCAAGTGCGCTCTTACCCTTGCGCCCTTAGGCAACCAGGTGCGCCCTTCCCCTTGAGCCGTCAGGCAGCAAGGTTCGCCCTTCCCCTTGTGCCCTCAGGCCACCAGGTGCGCCCTTCCGCTTGAGCCCTCGAGCAACCAGGTGTGCCCTTTCCCTTGCGCCCTCAGGCAACCAGGTGCGCCCTTCCCCTTGAGCCCTCGGGCAAACAGATGCGCCCTTCCTCTTTCGCCCTGAGGCAACCAGGTGCGCCCTTCCCCTTGAGCCCTCAGTCAACCAGGTGCGCCCTTCCCCTTGAGCCCTCGAGCAACCAGATGCGCCCTTTCACTTGCACCCTCAGGCAACCAGGTGTGCCCTTCCCCTTGAGCCCTCGGGCAACCAGGTGCACCCTTCCCCTTGCGCCCTCAGGCAACCAGGTGCGCCCTTCCCGTTGCGCCCTCGAGCAACCAGGTGCGCCCTTCCCCTTGAACCCTCGGGCAACCAAGTGCGCCCTTTCCCTTGCGCCCTCAGGCAACCAGGTGCGCCCCTACCCTTGCGCCCTCAGGCAACCAGGTGCGCCCTTCCCCTTTAGCCCTGGAGCAACCAGGTGTGCCCTTCCCCTTGTGCCCTCGGGCAACCAAGTGCACCCTTCCCCTTGCGTCCTCAGGCAACCAGGTGCGCCCTTCCCGTTGCGCCCTCGAGCAACCAGGTGCGCCCTTCCCCTTGAGCCCTCGGGCAACCAAGTGCGCCCTTTCCCTTGCGCCCTCAGGCAACCAAGTGCGCCCTTTCCCTTGCGCCCTCAGGCAACCAGGTGCACCCTTCCCCTTGCGCCCTCGGGCAACCAAGTACGCCCTTCCCCTTGCGCCCTTAGGCAACTAGGTGTGCCCTTCCCCTTGAGCCCTCATGCACCCAGGTGCACCCTTCCCCTTAAGCCGTCAGGCAACCAGGTGCGTCCTTCCCCTTGAGCCCTCAGGCAACCAGGTGCACCCTTCCCCTTGAGCCCTCTGGCAACCAGGTGCGACCTTCCCCTTGCGCCCTCAGGCAACCAGGTGCGCCCTTCCCCCTGAGCCCTTGGACAACTAGGTGCGCCCTTTCCCTTGCGCCCTCGAGCAACTAGGTGCGCCCTTCCCCTTGCGCCCTGAGGCAACCAGGTGCGCCCTTCCCCTTGAGCCGTCTGGCAACCAGGTGCACCCTTCCCCTTGCGCCCTCAGGCAACCAGGTGTGCCCTTCCCCTTGAGCCCTTAGGCAACCAGGTGCACCCTTCCCCTTGAGCCCTCTGGCAACCAGGTGCGCCCTTCCCCTTGCGCCCTCAGGCAA